AATCATTATCTAATTTCAAATTACTATATTTCATTAATGAACATAAAATTAGTTATTTGAAATCTATAAAAAGAAGACCGAGTTCAGAATATTCAAATAATTAACAAAGTAGCCCTTTTTTGATAATAAAAAATATTTTGAAATACACAAGATTTAATATTACAATATCTTAATTCATTACAATATCAAAATCTAAAAATTTACATAATACTCATCCTTCTATAAAATTATTAGAAAAAACGACTAGAATGAACATGATTACAATACGTAAATAATGATCCTAAAGTAATCACAAAATTTATTACCACAATTAACGATATAAACTCTTCAATAAGTAAAGAGCCTGGTAAAAATTATAAAGATATTAGCAAAAAGCCCTCTTTTGATATTTAAATATATACTTAAATAAAAATCATGATCTTATGTTCATTTAAAGTATCTACATACTACTACTTTAAAGTAATGACAGAATTAATTATCGCAATTAGCGATCCAATATTTTAAAAAGTTAATAGGACGTTAAAATATTACAAAATTAATAGACTAGTTTTCCCCTCGATAATAAATATATTCACAAAACACATGATCAAACGTTACAATATCAAATAAAGACTCTAAAATAACAAAAATGTTTTATCGTATTTAACGGTTTAAACTTTTTAAGAAATAAAAAGCTTGGTTAAAAATAGAAATATCACAATAACAGTCTCTTCCATAAAAAAATATTACAAAGCACGTGACCAAACGTTTAATTAAGTTATCTAAATAAAAACTTTAAAGTAAGGACATAATTAGTTATCGCAATTGGCGTTTAGCGTCTCTTTCGCGCGTCGCGAGTGCTAGGAGGAACGATGCGGGAATTAATAAAGTTATGCAATGATTAAATTAACTGAATATATTCTTTAGTGTAAACGGTACGCGTGAATACAGTTAGATATATCGCTCGGATTACAACGTGATGCGTCCGTGCGCGGCAACTATCGAAGACGGTATATATCGTTATCTAAAAATCCCCTATTTATACCTTGCCTCAAAAACGCCCTTCGCTAGGCTTCGAGAGGCTTCGCGAACTTTCTATCTATTTTTACTTCTTTGTTTCTGTCCTACTCGTCTTTCGTCTTGTCTGTAATATTTTATTTATATTTACTTGTGCCTTTGTCCTTTTCGTATATGTCAGTGTTCGTATTCGTATGCGTGTTTTCCTTACTAATCTCAGGGAAGTATGTGACGATGTAATCGCCACAGGCGATTTAAAATCTTTAAACAATAAAAAGAAATATAATAAAACATTATTAGAATTGCTTTAAGTTCGATAATAAAAATTGAAAAACACGGACCTAACATCAAGTTAAGATATTTATAAATGGTGATTTTAAAGTAACGACAAAATTAATTATCGCAATTAATGATTATTTTTAAAATGAAAAAGCTTTGTTAAAAATATAAAAATATATTAACAGAATAGCTTTCTCTTCGATAATAGAAAATATTAGAAAATCACGTGATCTAACTAACTCCAAGTTAAGATATATAAATAATAGCCCTAAAATAAGGACAAAATTATCGCAATGAGCTATTAAAACTATTTTAAAAATCTAAGAGCATTGTGAAAAATATAAAGATATATTAACAAAATAGCCCTCCCTTCTATAATAAAAAATATTGGAAAAGATGTGACATATCGTTACTTTATTTAAATAGAGCCTTTAAAATAAGGAAAAAAATAATTATCACATTTAGCATTTAAACTTTTAAGAAAAAAGAAACTTAGTTAAAATATGAAAAATATTAACAAACACAGCTTTTTCTTCGATAATTAAAAATATTGGAAAACGCGTGACCTTACACTAAAATAAGTAATTGAAATGATATCTCTAAAGTATCCACAAAATTAATTATCGTAATTGGCGATCTAAATTATTCAAATAATAAAAGAGATTGGTTAAAAATATTCAAAAATGTTAGCAGAATAGTCCTTCTCTCAATAATAAAATATTAAAGAAACACATGACTTAACATTGCAATATCTAAATATAGAGACCTTATAATAATGAAAAAATTAATTATTCCAATTAGCTTTTTAAACTGTCTAAAAACAGAAGAGTCTGATTAAAAATATCAAAAATATTAACAGAATTGCCCTCCCTTTGATATAAAAAAATTAGAAAACGGCACGACTTAACGTCTAGTTAAAATATTTAAATGCTATCTTTAAAGGAATGATAAAACTAATTATCGCTTTAAATGAATGAAACTAATTCAAATATGAATAAACGTACTTCAAAATATAAGAATACGTTTCTGAAATGGTCCTCAGTTCGATAATCAAAAATATTAAAAATAATGTGACATTACCAAACATAATGATTCGTACATTCCCTTTCTAAAAAAGGCATGTTATTTATTCTCGAATATCTCGAAATATTGTTACCTTTAATCCGCGATGCCGATTCGTTCCGTCATAGCGTTTACTTCGTAAACGGCTGTCATTCCATATTTTGACAGTTGTATGTATCGAGGGGTTATAGTATAGTGACAGTATATAATGTATATAAAAGGATTTGATGTATTTAATAGTTAAAATCTAATGAATAAGTGTTTATTAATTTGCGATTGAGTAGTTTCCATTACAGTTTCTCAGTTTCTTAGAAATAGAAATTTGGTAAATTAAAATCATGTATATATCAAAATTCAATTAATTTAGATTATTAGATTATGTACATATTTCCATTATAAAATATAATACTGAAGTTGAAATCAATATTTACTAATATTACACATGTATTATCTACGTTAAATATAACAACAAAGGAAATCGATAACTAATACTGACAACAAGATTTTGAAGGATTCTTCGAATTTTATTATCTCTGACATAATTTTAATTTATCAAATTTTTATTGTCTTGACATAATTTTAATTAATCGTTATTTATTATGTCTCGAGATAATATTAATTCATCGAATTTTTATTACGTCTCGAAATAATTTTAATTATGTCTTGATATAATTTTAATCATTGAATTTATATTATGTCTCGACAGAATAAAAATTTTTGAATTATTATTATTTCTCGACATAATTTTAATTCATCGAATTGTTATTATGTCGAGACATAATTTTATTTCATCAATTTTTATTAAGTCTCGACATAAATTTAATTCATCGAATTTTATTATGTCTCGACTTATATTTAATTCATCGAATTTTTATTATGTCTCGACATAATAAAAATTCTTGAATTATTATTATGTGTCGACATAAATTTATTTTATCGTATTTTTGTTATATCTCGACATAATTTTAATTTATCGAATATTTATTATATGTCATGATATAATTTTAATTCATCGAATTTTTATTATGTCTCGACATAATTTTAATTAATCGTTATTCATTATGTCTCAACATAATAGTGATTCATCAAATTTTTATTATGTGTCGATGTAATAAAAGTTCTTGAATTATTATTGTGTTGATATAATTTTAATTCATCGTTATTTATTATATCTGGAGATAATAGTTTTTCATCGAATTTTTATTATGTCTCGATATAATTTTAATTCATTGAATTGTTATTATGTATTGACATAATTTTATTCATCGAATTTTTATTAAGTCTCGACATAAAATTCATCGAATTTTTATTATGTCTCGACTTAATTTAATTCATCGAATTTTTATTATGTCTTGACGTAATAAAAATTCTTGAATTATTATTATGTGTCGACATAATTTTAATTCATCGAATTGTTATTATGTCTAGACATATAAAAAATTCTTGAATTGATTAAGGCATTATGTAACCCCTTACATCAAATTAAGGGTAATTAGATTTTTCACTAATCATGACATTATTTATGTAATTTTCATGTGAATTGTATTTTAAAAAATTGTTTGCGTTTTCTTTTTGTATTTACGACTATTTTATTTTAATATTATACCCAGAAGAGGACTCAATTTTCAGGGTCGAAACGTTGCCTTTTTATAATAAACAATCTTTTATTATTAGCCAGTGTGGTAAATTAAAATTTACAACCTTGATTTAAATAACTAAATCTAATTAAAAATGAAAGACTGCTATCACAATTTAAGAATATATATTCTTGAAATGGTCCTCAGTTTAATAATAAAAAATATTGACAAATGACGTGTCAATACCTAACATAATGATTCGAATACATTGGTCCTATTTAAACAAATTAATTATCACTTTAAATGATAAAAAATAATTAAAAAATGAAAGAGCATGCTACAAAATGTGGAAATACGTTCTTGAAATTGTCCTCAATTTGATAATAACAAATATTGAAATATGATGTTTTAATACTATCTAACATATAATGATTCGTACATTGGGTCCTAAAACTTGGAAAAATTAATTATCGCTTTAATAAATTACTAAAGCTAATTAAAAAATGAAAGAGCGGGCTTCAAAAAAATGAAAATACGTCCTTCAAATAATCCTCAGTTTGATAATAAAGAATATTGAAAAATAATGTGTTATTTCCTAACACACATAATGATTCGTACATTATTGGGTTCTAAAATTTTGAAAAATTAAATTGTCGCTGTAAATGGCTGAAACTAATTAAGAAATGAAAGAGCGATCTTTAAAATATGGGAATACGTCCTTTACATGGTCTTTGTGACTATAAAGCAGAAGACAAAAATTAACAAATCGGAGCACGAAACACTCGTAGCGTAGCTGCAGAGCAGAGCAGTGGAGCAATGGAGAATGGAGCATATTTTAATGTTTTCTGTTTATCTATCACTGAAATATATATATCTCATGGAAACTTATCTTTCTACAACGTTAACCTGCACCTTGCACCATGATCGTGCCTTGCACCAAGTATATTTGTGTCGACGCGCGCTTGCAATGATCAGAAGATGGCGGGAAAACCACTAGAGTTCGAGAGCCAATCAAAAATGGTTCGGAGTTGGCGCATCTCTGATCACAGGTCTACTTGTGAGTTGCGGCGGCGATCACATGATTTTGACGTTACAGCGCTGCTGCATCGTCGTTTCGAACATGGCCGCGGCAGAATGCGAAACGAAGGAGAGCAACTCTCTTTCGGTGGACCTGTTGAAGACACCGGTCTTGTCCGATGAGACCGTCAGCGCGATCGAAAAACAGGAAGGCTCCGGCATTCCGTTGCAGACTTCGTGGACTTTCTGGCTCGATAAGTAAGAGAGAACATCGATCTTTTCTCGTATAACCTTCTCTTGCGCGACGCTCTTTCGTCAGGGCATACCTACAGAAATATATACATCTCGATTTTATCACTCTTATTGTTGTCAAACATCACGACACAAATATTTCGCGATAAGTTCTATCAAATAATCCTTTTCAACTTTGATATCGATATCGGTTGCTGCTTTTCATCTCACTTTGTTTAAGTGCAGTATATTTTAATTCACATAATATATATATATATTTATATATATGATAAATTATATATTATATTTTCAGAACATTTCTCCCTGTAATACTTTTATCCTCCTAAATGATCTCATTAGGTGGTTGCCAAACAAAGAAATTTCTTTTTATTATGATACATTTTGGTATAATATGTTGCTATTATTCTGCAACACATGCACATAAATGATTAATGTATTTAGTTATAAATAATTATATAAAATATTTCAGATAGGATTAATTGATGTTACAGAACTAGTGTACAAAATAAAATATTCATTCTCTTCTTTTGATTCTTATTTGTAAAAATTAAAGAAATTATTGCTTCCATAAAAGCAATATTGGAACGTCTAATATTAGATTTAGAAAAACTTTATATTTTAGATTTTATTTTTGATATAACGTTAAAATTTGAAAAATATCAGCATTATTCTATAATTCATTTAAGTTGATACATTTCACTTTAATGAAGAATTTCTCAATCTGTCTCTAAATTATTGAATTCTTAAAATTCATGTCTTAAAGTATTATCAGATTTAAATTAATTATTACCATATAAACATAGATTAGTTATTCTAAACAAAAAAACAACATATATCAAAGTTGATATATTAAATATAGGTGATATATTAAATTAGTATAATATAAATGTAAATACATGTTTCAAAATTCATTGAAACTGGCTAAATATTTTTAATGTAAAAAACTTTTTAATAGAGCTATCCCTGGAACAACCGCTGAAGAATACAAAGCCAACTTGCAGAAAATCTATACTGTAAATACTGTGCAAAATTTCTGGGCAGTCTTCAATAATATACCAAATGCTGGAGATATGCAGGTATAATGATTAACTTTTTTGAAAAAATAAGTTTATTAGCGTAACATATTTTATTTTAATTATAACTCATTTTATTAATTATTGAGGAATAGAAAGAGACTTGTTACATTGCAAAACAAGAATGCTGATTTAATTTGTTAAAAATAGTTTCATTGAATTTGCATATTATTTCTTTACAACAAATTCTTTAACTTTATTAATGAAAAAATGGAATCAGTTTTCAGCAATATCATCATTTCTTTGCAATAGTAAAATATTTTTGTACCATAAATTATTTTATTTGAATAACAAGTTCTAGAAATAGATATAATCTGCCAGATTTTATTAACAAAAAGTTTGTAATATCAAATGATAAGTTACAATAACAAATTTTGATCACTTTTATATTGAATATGCAGTAATAGTGACAGTTTTATTATTGCTATATATATATAACGAAATTCTTCATTATTTCTTTTATTCTACATTGTTTGCTGAAGTAGGAAAAATTATTACAACTTATTTATAATTGATATTAATTATATATATTATTGCTTATTTATGCTATGCTATTTAATATTTTATTCTAATATATTGTTTACTTATTTGTTATTGTTATTTATATTTTACTATAAGTTATTTAAATTTTTTGTTGTCAGGTTAGATACAGTTACCACTTAATGAGAGATGAGAGATATCCTTTATGGGAAGATAAACTGAATCAAAAGGGTGGGACCTGGAGATTAAAGTGCCATAAATGCGATACTGTAAATATCCTATATTTATGTTGACATTGATTTTTGATTTCTTTTGACAATATATTGCTAAGTTTTAATATATATGGGGACTTCTTGATTTATGTTAAGTTACATTATTTATATAGTTTTATTTAACATGTTATTTTGTACTTATTTCAAAGTTTTATATAGATAATTGATATTATTATTATTATTATTTCTTAACTTGTATAGATAATCAACTTCTTGCTTTTGTTGCATAACATCTAACTTACATTTCCGATGTTTTTCAGGAACGTGTGTGGAAAGAAGTGGTGCTTGCAGCTATTGGAGAACAGTTTACTACACATGTAGCACAAGATGATGAAGTCTGCGGAGTGACTGTATCTATACGTGATAGGGAAGATCTTATTCAAGTAAGTATATTGTAAATTAATAAGTAGACAACAATGTTCAAGTATGTATGTATGTATGTATGTATGTATGTATGTATATATATATGTATGTATGTATGTATGTATGTATGTATGTATGTATGTATGTATGTATAATTAGATGAAATTAAAGTTGTATTATGATTTCAGATTTGGAACATTAATGCTGCCTTGCAATCAAAAGCTACGGTCCTAAAGAAAGTTCACTTCCTATTGCCTGAGGTTAATTTCCTGGGAGAATTTTATAAAGGTAAGTCTTGTTAATAAAAGTAACTCTTTCTTTTTAGAAAGATGCAAATTAGCATTGTTTATGTTTTAGAACATCAATCTAATCATGCTTATGGGAGACGTTAAATATACAGTGATATTATGGTGAAAGAAAAATATGAATTGTTAAATATTTTAAAATTTGATAATAATATGAAAATGTGTGATGTATAAATAATATTCGTATTATGTATTATGATAATACGAAAAAAATTTCCTCTAGAAAAAAAAATTCGGAGCACAATGTGTGAACACATCATTAAAGAATGAGCTGTCATGATTTTTAAAAGTTTGTTACTTGTTTAACACGTTCAGTGCGTTGTTTATATCAAACTCGATATATTTTAGAAGCGAATAGCTGTTATAAACGTTTTACAAACGCAAAATATATTTTTATATTTACAACCTACGTATCTATTTATTTCTCATGGTAATATGCTTTTAAGCGAGCGTGCATATATTTTTAAATGATCATGACATATACACGATTTCACATCTTCATAATTATTAATGCTGTTCACCATAACGAAACACTGATTGATTGTCGATTAAATCAAGTAGAATGTTTACTGAATTTTTGGGCACCAATTTTTGTGCGTAATTTATTAAGCGATTAACTACACACCTACATAAGAAAGCGATTTATGTAGAGAGAAGGAGTCTGGCGCCTACCACATGTTGTGTTTATTAATTGCAATTTATTCAATCCACCTTCGAAAATTTATCAATGACACATCAAAGGTAGTATTAAAATTCTTCAGAAAATAATGCGAAATCGTGTAGCAAAAAAGACGATTCCGCGCGTCTGTTATCGTGCATAGAAAATAAACATTGACCCTGAATTTTATTAAGATCCGGGAAGTATTCGAAAGCGTCTCTTATCTCCGTGATTTCGGATGTAAATGCAAATAGGGTACATCCTCGCGTTATTCAGTAATTCCGTAATTCGAGAGATAATGACGGTGAATATAAATTATAAATTCTTTTCTCTTAATAAAAATAACGCTTGTTTAAATATTTTTGTAAAGATTGATAATATAAATTTCTCTATAAAATTATATGAAGAAATAAGATTTTATTTTAATTAACAATTGCAAAAATAATTTTTTTTCTTGCGTAGTAGAATAGAGAAATTGGCTGGATTTTGATTGTTGCGAATTAAATTTGCATGATAAATGTCCGAGATGTTTTTGACCGTCAATCATAAAATAATTAATACGATCAAGAAATTTCTTTGAGTACTTCGAAAAATTAATTTAAATGTCTAATCAATCTTCGTTTAAAGCCGGTAACATTGTCCGACTACTAGACGCCGAGTTAACATTTTACTACTCGCATTTATATTGACATCAACAGAAGGATTTTTCGAAGATATAAAAATCCAAATTTATTCAAACACTCGATACCTATTAGATTAATTTTAAATCACGTTTAAATTATGTATACCGATTTGCATTTTTCGTTTAAATCGACCAGATGCGAGAAAACGTCATTATTGAAATTCGATTATTCACACTATTAATTACTTTTCTGATAATTAATAGAGAGAAAGAGAGAGAGAGAGAGAGAGAGAGAGAGAGAGAGAGAGAGAGAGAGAGAGAGAGAGATACACACGTTACGAACACATCATTTTTTTCAAGATAGAATGGCTTAGATACAAGTAAATGCGTATTAGTTAAAATTAAAAAATTACATTCAAAATTAAAATTTTTGATTAAATTAAATAACAAAATTAACTTTTTAAATAATAAATTTAAATTGAATTTGTAATTTGTCACTTGTCAGAAACGATATTTTAAAAAAAAATTTTATTTGTCTTATTGTTTTCTCTACAACATTATATATTTTTGTTAATTTGTTAAATAATGGTAGTTTTATAAAATAGAAAGTTCGGCCGTAAATAGAAGCTCACGGAAAAAAATTAGTCACCATAGCTAAATTTTAGCTGTCCCTATTACAATCCAAAATTTAGTGGTGTTATCATATTATCGCCTTAATATTTTTTATAGCTTAAGAATTTTCCGTTAAACTATAGCTAAAAATATTAATTATTATACCTAAATTTTATCTATGGTAAAAAATATTTTTAACTATAATTTAACGAAAAATTCTATAACTATAAAAATATTAGCTACCAGCTAAAATTTAGGCATGATAATTAAATTTTATGTATAACATAAGAACAGCTTATTGAGACAGTAAGTTTAGCTATAGTTGTTCATTTTGTGTTTCCATGCTTCTTCTCTTCTCTTGAACTAAAAAAATATTGATTTACGTTTCAAAGTTGCTGAATTACGGGTTTGGATGATGTATCACTATATACGCAAAACAGAACTTCCGAGATGAAGAGAAAAAATATTTAGAATGAAAAAAAATATTTATCGATCACGATTAGCTACAAGTCCTCTTTCCCGATATATATATATGCATCCGTACGAATAAATCATGGCATCTCGGCCTTGCATACGGCCTTGCCATATGGGAGACACGTGTATACGAGTGTGAATATGAACATTAGCGATGTCGTGGATGCCTCCCAAGAAAGATGACACCAATACGGAGTCTTATTACTCTGATGTGTAAAAGTTTCTCTCGCATCTGAGTCATTGTCGACAATTACTTACCTCTAATTAGCAACTAGACATTTTCATGAGAATCGTGATACTCTCATAATCGATTCATCGGTAATTTAATTCCTTCGTTTCTTACCAGCGAGAGGGAATTATTAAAGAATCTTCCTCATAAATTTAAACCTAATTAAACTGCATAAACTTTATACTAATCAAATGTTTTTATAATTACATTGTACATTGAAAAAAAAATTGTTAACTTGACTAAATCCTTCAACTAAATTACTATGTTGTTAATTGAACATTTGTAAGTATTTAAGTTAAATACACGTTTTGTTAGATTTAATATAGTATATTTAAATATTTCTGTATATGTTCAATTAACAAAAGAGTATTTAGTTGAACGATTTAGTTAAGTTAACAATTTTTTCAGTGCGTATACTTTTAAGAAATTATGAAATGATAAATTTATATCTTTTTTATGACTATATGACTTTTTCTCGGTGAAAATTTTAATTTTATATGCAATCTTAGCTTCGCAGAAAACGAACTAGACGTTTTCAAAATCGGTTGAGAATCGTGATATTTTCATAATCAATTCATTTGTAATTTAATTCCTTCGTTTCTTACCAACGAGCTATTGCTTCGAGAGAATCTTTCTCATAAATTTAAGTCTAATTAAACTGCATAAACTTGATATCATATATAATCAAATGTTTTTATAATTATACTGCACACTGAGAAAAAATTGTTAACTTGACTAAATCGTTCAATGAAATTACTATTTTATTAATTGAAGATACATATATAAGTATTTAAATCAAATACACGTTTTATTAGATTTAATATAGTATATTTAATTTAAATATTTTTATATGTTTAATTAACAAAATAGTATTTAATTGAATAATTTAGTTAAGTTAATTTTTTTTCAGTGTACTTTTAAGAAATAATGAAATAATAAATTCATCTTTGTTATGACTATATGAACAACTTTTTCTCTCGGTGAAAATTTTAATTTTATATACAATCTTAGCTTCGCGAAAAAGACAGAAGCAATTAAATATTTTCATGAGAATCGTGATACTCATAATTGATTCATTAGTAATTTTATTTGTTCGTTTCTTACCACCGAGCTATTGCTTCGAGAAAATCTTCCTCATAAATTTAAGCCTAATTAAACTGCATAAACTTGATACCATAATCAAATGTTTTTATAAATACACTGTACACTAAGAAAAAAATTATTAACTTGACTAAACCGTTCAATTAAATTACTATTTTATTATATTAATTGAACATATATAAGTATTTAAGTCAAATACACGTTTTGTTGGATATTTAATTCTATAGTATTTAGTTGAATAATTTATTCAAGTTAATTTTTTTTCAATATACTTTTAAGGAATAATGAAATGATAAATTTATCTGTGTTATAGCTATATATGAACGACTTTTTCTCTCGGTGAAAATTTTAATTTTATATGCAATTTTAGCTTCGCGAAAAAGACAGAAAAAATATAGAGATTATAAAAAATGTTTCTGTTTACCGAGCGATTTATCGTTTTATCGATTTATCTTCTCGTATCGGAGGGGAGAAATTAGAGAAGCGAAGGGATTAAGAATAAAATTTCTTCGGGTTATAACTTCGCTTTGGCATCAGACCAATCCAGCACGCGCCGCTCATTATAATTCAACTAACTGTCTGACCGGTACCGGTCCAGGATCCTCTCTAGCAAAACATCGGAGGATACGGGATTTCCTGATTGCGGAATGGCGCCGCGCCGCGGATACGACACTGTGTAGATTATATATGCATGTACGCATACATACTTGTATATTTGTATATATTATGACATCAGCAACAGTACTGTTACATACTTTCATGTTTAAAGAATTTATATCGGAATTTTTGTGCGCGATATGTCATTGAAAAGTCAAAGGCCTCGCGGAGCATTATTTTCAAAAATCTGCATTGATAAAAAGGGCTGTCCTCGTTTATTTATCGCATTCACGGAAAAAAAGAAAATTATCCATAGCTAAATTTTAGCTATCTCTATATTACAATCTGAAATTTTATTATCATTTCAGCTATGATAGCTAATATTTTTAGCTATAGCTACAGCTAAATTCTATAGCTAATATTTTTAGCTATAGAATTCTCCGTTATAGCTAATTGTAAAATATTAGTTATCATATCTAAATTTTAGCTATCGTAATTAATATTTTTAGCTATAGTTTAACGGAGAGCTTTATAGCTAAAAAATATCTTCTAGCTAAAATTTAGGTACGATAACTAAATTCCTTTTGTAATATAAGGACAGCTAAAATTAAGCTATAGTAGTTAATTTTTTTCCGTGATTTTTGTTTACCTATTGTGCATATGCATTACATAATGCTTATTTTCTAAAGAACCATGAAAATTTATTTTACATCAGGCCGTTTAAAAAAAAATGAGAATTTTAATTTAAAATATAAAAAAATATTAAAGTAAAAAAGAGATTTAATTGAGATTTAATAGATTAGTTTTATCTTTTTTTA